ATTAGTAAGATTACACCGACTATTATTATTATGTCAAAGTTGGCAAGGGTCATTTTAATACTTGTACTATTGACACTAAAATTAATTTATTTAATTAATTAAATCATAACGTTAATTTTATCTTTTTAAGTAGGACGTTAGTTATGAATGTGGAGGGGTACATCGGTAGAGGTAGACCTAGAAAGAGATGGATGGATTGCGTAAAAGGTGACATGATCAAGAAGAGAGTGATGACTGAGATGACGGATGATAGAGTGCTTTGGAGGACGAAAACCCGGTGCACCGACCCTAAGGGAGCAGGATAAGGCAGGGGAGATGATGATGATAACGTTAATTTTATTTATTGGTGTAGAATCAAAATTTCAGGTTTTTGAAAATTTTTGCATTTAAAGAGCATTACGTTGTAACAAATGTTAATTCCATGTAGCTTGTGATATTCTCGTTTTAAATTGTCGAGAATTTATATCACTGATTGATGTTTGAAGCAATTTAATTGAGACGGCCTTGCCTTCATTGTTTATGAACGCAGTACGGTAACAAGACGCGATGGTTATTGTTGCGAGAAAGAGATAGGTGCTAATTATTAAATTGTTTTTATAATTCTGAGGTCTTGGGTCCAAAAGTAAATGCATAGAAAAGGACCCATATGACCAAGTGACATATCATACATCTAAAAGGTGTAATATTTTTCGTCACTTATTTAAAAAGTCACAAATTCTCAATTGATTTTTTAACGATTTATAATTTTACATTTCAAATATGACAAACTGGATATATGAAAATTGAATCTACCTCTATGGAAAATTCTAGAATTAATAAATATTGCAGGAAATATTACCTGTGTATATTACCTTGCTTTAGTTAAAACTAAAATCATACAATATTAACAAAAACATACCTACAATGTTTTTTTTTACCTTTTGTCAGTTGAGCAGAATTTTTAAGTGCTCGCTAAGGGAAAATCTAACCTACAAATTCATGTCACTAGGTAATCGAGTTTGTGGCAACTTTCATTATTTTATTATAGAAACGTGACGAGATGTCGTTAATTATTCACGTGTGCGATAAAATTGTTCACGATCATTGTACAGTCGGTAACACGAAGTTTTCACTCTTCTGTACTGGTTACTAATATGGGCGTCAAATCCATGTTATGCTTTAATAAAATGTAGTCTTTTTTTACGTCTTGTGTTTTCTTTCAGTTTGCACAGAATAACCTCACCAATAACACCGTCCTTCCATGCTCCCCACCACCAATATGGCCGTCGTGTCGTCGGTCCAATGCAACACCCTTATTTTGACATCTGACTACTCTCCGATTATTAACATAACAAGTAGAATTCCGACATTTTAAAACCATGACATAAATATTTAAATAATGTGTTGGATCACAACTACAAAGCTTATATCGTTATTTCAAATTATGAAAAATGGTATTGATTTATAGCACAGACTAAAAAACCTTCAAGAATACAGAATACATCAAAATAGTTAAAAAGTTAACTCTAAGGAGAACCCTTAGTGTAGAATTCACATACCTTTACTCTAAGTTGACACTCTAACCATTTTAATACTTGGTTAACATTATTCCAGTCCAGCGATCGATATCAGGGTTGGATTACATTTGAAAAGTAAACTCTTTTTAACATTTTAGTTTGGGATTACATTTTCCAGTTGTAATCAGTGACGATATTAATCACTGGACTGGAATGATGTAAACCAGGCATAAATTTGTAAGCCTGTTCATGCGTACAAATAAAAGAAAGCAGGCAAAGTTAATGTAAGCATTGGACTTCAATGTCAATAAACCTCTTGAAAAAATTGTCTTTTATTTTAAAACAAATAATAGCGATTATGCTAAAATACTGCCAATGTTTTTCTTTTGTAAAGTATGAAAAATATATTATTTTAGTGAAAAATATAGAAATAAAAACAATATTAGTACAAAAATATTTTTATTTGGCCACAATTCATACAAAAGGAACAACACAATGCGCATATTACGATATGCAAATTCAATTGTACACATACATACAAACATTATGAACATTTTGGCAGCTTGCCAACAAATTACATTTATACAAAAATCATCCTCTCTGTTATTCCCTTCCAAATAACAGAGTAAACGATATTTTGAATATCTTGGAGGAAAGTGTTATCTCCGTGTTTGCGCAGCGACTCGTGCGAAGTTCAGAGTTGTTAACACATATCAGAACTGTACAATTACTTTAACAAGTTAGTCCATTTTTTCCAACGAAACTATACTTGCTATGAAAAAAACAACTGAATGTCAATTGTACTATTGGAATTGGAATTATTTAAAAAAAAAACATATAGATATAAGAACTACGTCCTCATACACAATAGGCGCTTTTTTAACGCATGGCACAAGCGGTTTTTCAACGCTCATACGAGCGTTTTAAAAACGCTCAGCGTTGCATTTATACCGCTGCGGATAACAGATAAATGTTAAAAAAGCGCCCGTGCAGATGGAATTTATTATTATAATCTGGGTTAAATCTTTGAAATTACTAACTTAAGTACGACCCACGGCACTACATATGCAGTTAATGTTTTTAATATGTTTAAACGGCAAAACAGATCCCCATGAAATTTGGCACAGGAGCATAGTCTGGAAGAACACATAGGCTACTTTTTATCCCGGGAATAGTTACGGTTCCCGTGGAATTCATTAGTTTAGTTTTTTAATGTTTACTCGATCATTCTGCAACGGTTCAACATATCTTGTTAAAATTTGGCACAGATATAAAACGAAGTCTGGAATACACATGGGATAAGCTTCATCCCAGAGAAATGTCCGGTTCCGGAGGGATACGTAGCTTTTTGTTATCTATCTAGTTCGTATGTTTTCTAATACCACGCGGAAGTCGCGGGCAACAACTAGTGTATATTTCAGAGGAATAAAATGGACTAACCCTTCTAAATCAAGAATGAATTTATATTTGGAAAATAGCCCTAAACTTAAGTTAATTGTACTTAATTAAATGTACTAACTTAAAGTTTCTTTAAAATGTTAAAAAAAATTGAAATCCTGTTTTTTTTGGTGGGCATGTTTTATTCTTATATCTATTTACTTAAACTAACTTAAATACTATATTATAGTAAGTGTATTGTAACAAATTATACAAAAGTTTTTTTTAAGGAACGGATTGTTTGTAGATTTTTCTTGTTTTTTGAGATCATTATTTGTTTTTTTTTGTATAAAAAAAGTAGACAAAACAGATATTTAAAAATATCTGAATGGAATTTAAAATATTTTCATCAATCACATAAGTTCCATTAACAGATTTTATATGACTTTGCTGCCAATATCTAGATTTATTTCTAGAATTATGAACTTTATTAACTAATTATTGACAATAATAAGCAATTTCCGTCAAAAATCATTCAATTATACAAAATTTTTACCACTGCCAATTTCAGTGCAGAAATTTAGACTAAGGGTCTCCCTTAGTGATTGATTAACTGTGATCGCAGCAGTTAGACTTATATTGTATTACCCTTAAATGCACGATTTTTTTCTTTTGAATACCATAAATTGAAACGGGTAGTGAATTGAAGATAGATTAAGGAAAAACGAAGAATTTTTTTTTTCAAAATAGTCTATTGCGTATAGAAGAAAAGACTGATGTATAAATGCAACATCATTCATTTAAGGGTTAAGATTTGGTCCACAGGGACCCCTTAGGGGGTCTATGTGAGGGGTTCTTCTGTGAAGTAAGGATGTTCCAGACAGTCTAATGCTGTGAGACGCTTTGCTGGGTCAAATATAAGCATACCCTGAAAACATTACTATTATAAATGCGAAAGTTTAGATGGATGGATGTTTTTTTTAAATTTATCAACTTATACAGACTCTTGGTCAGTACTCTTTGCACAGTTTGTTTTCCTTTTCTTTTTTTTGTTGCATAATCCGTATATCACTAGTGAGTTTTTTTTCTTTTTTTTTAAATACAATTATACAATTATGGATGGATGCTAGAGTTTATAGCCTAAACGGCTGAACGGATTTCGATGAAATTTGACATAGATGTAGAGGATAGTCTGGAAGAACACATAGGGTATTTGCATTTTTTTTAATTCCGCGCGGACGGAGTCACGGACAAAAGCTAGTACTATTATAAATACGAAAGTTTATATGGATGGATGTTTGTTAGATTGTAGCATAAACGGTTAAAAGGATCTCGATGAATTTAGACATAAATGTACAACATAGTCTGGAAGAACACATAAGCTACTTAGTTTGTTTTTCGTCACGCAGACGGAGTCGCGGGATAAAGGGCTTGTCAATTGTCTCATTGACACTTTTAGTTGAGTAGCAAATAGTTTAATTAATTGTGTCTGAACAACAAAATATTCAGGGCCTGTCCCACCACTGGCTGATAGAGGCTCAGATAGCTTAAATACATCACTGTCAGTTAAGGTAACAAAATCCTATATTTCCATCACATATTTCACACATTGGATTGTAATCAGACAATTTATAATTTGGTGGGACAGGCCCTAGCATAGTAGATTAGCCAATCATTATGACAAGAAAATTTTAGCTGATAAATGTCTTGTTACTCAACTAAATTACTTGCCTAGTGCAAATATTTGACAAAAATTAACTTTATTTCAAATCCTTACGACTATACCAAAATTCCCTAAACAGGAATGGGGCCAGTCATTCTAATGTGTTTTTTGGTGATCGTAGAACCCTCTTTTATTTAACTTAAGGCCACCTGGTGCCGGAGGCCTAATTTTAGTCCCTTTCCCTTTCCACCATTTTCTTAAGGGGAAAGGATGGGAA